CACGCCTGTGCGGTCTGCCAGCCTGCGTCGTGCTCCTCGGCCGCATGATGCCCGAGACCACACCTGCGCGGTCTGCCCGCCTGCGTCGTGCTACTCGGCCACATGACGCTCAAGACCACGCCTGCGCGGTCTGCCCGCCTGCGTCGTGCTACTCGGCCGCATGACGCTCAAGACCACGCCTGCGCGGTCTACCAGCATGCGTCGTGCTCCTCGGCTGCATGATGCCTGAGACCACACGTGCGCGGCCTGCCCGCCTGCGTCGTGCTCCTCGGCCTCATGCTCCCCGAGACACACCTGCGCTACCAGCCCGCTTGCGTCGTACTCCTCGGCCCCATGCTCCCCGAGACACACCTGCGCGGGCTCGAGGAACGCCCCCAGGGAGATCCCCGTCTTTCGGACCCAAACCGAACCGCGTCAGCCCAGAGGCCACGACTCAAAGTTGTTTCCCGCAACAAGTAGCATTATCACTAAGAGAAGGGATGGATACAGCTTGATCAAGCGGGTTGGTGAAGATGGAAGTGGGTACAAATATTATATCCTGTTGCGGTTTGGTTGGTATTTGTATGGAGGAAAAAGCGGAGGAGAGGGAGCGTCGGCGAAGACGACATGCAGTAGTAGTTCGTTCGATAGGAACCACGGCAAAAGAAGGGGAGGAGGAAGAACAAAACAAAGGTCGACGATGTGGACTTCCGTCATGTCATGCGGACCCGCTACATGGACCGCGGAGCCGACCGGTGGGATGGTGAACCACCAAACGTGTTCTCATCTGCATCTCTCCTTTTTTTCTTTTGCTTTTCCCCGTTGTCATTTCCCGAGCAAGGGTTGATGTCGTTTTACTCCCGAGACTATGAACCTATTTCATTATTAGCTAGTGAAAATTAATGGTGTCCTCGTGGCCCGCCTCGTGGGATCGATCCCCCAACAACACCGCCACCACCACCACGACGACGACGAGAGTACTAAGTGCGCGCTGGATGGACGAGTCGGTTCTGCTTTTGGTCCATCACGATGGGTTCGAACACACCTTCACAGTCGACATCTAACTTTTTTGCGATGGGAGGACGTAACCACGGTGGGTCGCAAGCGTGGGCTCCCACGTGGACCACACGTCACGCCAATCAAAAGACAGGTACAGGTTAGACTCCTTTACTTGTGGCTATAAAAAGGGTCTCCGAGCAGCATCTTCGCAGTTGCTTCGTCGGCCGTTCATTCCGGCAGGGGCCAGTGGAACAGCGAACGGGAGGAGACTCTGTGCCACACTAACATTGTTTATATAAAAAGATGATAAGGGCGGACGAGTAGTGGCAGTGTCTCGGGAAAGCAAGTTTTGGTACCTCCGTGCAGCTGTGATGGGGGCACAAACACCACCACTCGATGTATATTCGATGCCGCCATGCCCTTCCCCTTTACTTTTACCTCTTAGGAAAACGAAGCCCATAACAAAATATCTTGTCGTCTACGAAACCGAGTGGGCTCCCGTTTTCCTCACACCACGTGACCTCCTGCTCCGCTTAAATGACACCAGCGCCCCTGCTTCTCCAACGGCAGAGACGGTGCAACGGTCACACGTGTGCCACGCGACAGGCGAGCTGCAGGGGCACGTGCTGTTCGAACCGCTTCCCGTTGGTCTCCCTCTCTCTCTCTCTCTCTCTCTTTCCGGCGAAGATAGTTGAGAGAGTTAAGTAAAGAAAAGGGGGGTTGGGTGTTGGACAGCTGGTGACGCGTAACCGCTGCGCACAAAAGGGATACGATTCCCCCAAATCTCGTCACTCTCTTTTGTTTGTTTCGTTCTCCCCAACCCACGCCATCCTCTCCCTCCCTCCCTCCCTCCATTATTGACCACTGGTATTAGTTTTGTATCGCGTCTCTCTCACTCCTCTTCGAACCCAACCGGTCCAGCGAGAGGCATTTAGAAACCAATATCACTATTTGAAAATATCATATCCTTTGTTTTTACGGCCGCATATGGAGTTTGCAAACTCAAAAAAAATACAAAAAAAAAGAAAAAAAGGGCAACGAAAACGTGTAAAGAAATGACTGGATGGGCGAAGATAAAGAGAGTCAAAACACAGCGAGCACCGTCCAACAGACAGCGGCGAAGAAGGGGAGCGGGGCCCAACCAACAGCTGTGCGGAGAGTACACGACGTACGAGCCGCAGAAAAGGCCAAAAAATAAGGACTGGCCGTAGCTTTGCTTGCTCGTATTTTTCTCCCTCCCCGTCTCGCCTACATTTATTTTAATTATAGTGAAGAAGAACTAAAGGAACCGAGAGCCAATGCCACTCCGACGGGTATATTAATTATACCCTGTTAGGCTTAGCACCACCAAAGCTATCTCGTCTCACCGATTCTCATCATTTTCTATTGCTGGGGGGGGTGAGTTATTACTTCATTCATTACTCTTTGACTAAAGTGGGCAGGAGCGTGCACGTTGGATTTACTAAAAACTCATTAACAACAAATTAAGGAAGGAGGGAGGAAGGTCTGTTACAGATCTTACCGAATAATAATAATAATAATAATAAAAGAAGCAGAGGGAGGGAGAGTGGTGGTTAAAGAATCAATCTCGAGAGAGGATCGATTTAGGAATGGACGGTACGGATTGCACCACAGGGGTGCAGTAATTATGCCATCGCTTTCACTTGGTTCGTTTTAGTTAACAAAAGATACCAAGTATGGCAACTAGTTGCACAGTTTATGTAGCAAGCATACATATATGCACATATCCATATATTTATGACGCTTGTAAACCCAATTCGACCCGTATCTTAACCAACTAAAACTGAAACCGACTGCTGTTGACACGCACGAATAATGCTCTCCAGGGTGGCTAGACAAAATCCACACCCGACTCTCTTCTCCTAAACATCCACTTCCAGAGTTAGGTGCTAACCGGCTGATAAGAATTCCATCAATAAAGTTTGCGACGTTTTAGTTAATTATTGAGGACACTGAAAGGTCCACGAAGTTGGTACATGCATCTGGGATAAGATGCAGTGGGCAAGACGAAACAGGGGAGTCATGATACGGACGTCCCAGATCAACGCGACGAGGGCACGGGGTTGTCCCGTTTCAGCGGCGTCAGATGGCATCCATGCACCCATACATATATGCCCCCCGGGCCGCCGTCGTCGTCATGAGTCAAATACCTGTAGCCATGCCGACTTGCGGCCCCCACGAACATGGAAACCAAAGCTTATGCCCTCGGAATTTAACCCTCACCTCTGGGAAATACCTACCTCCCACACGGATGGCTAAGGTCTTCGCAAGATTAACGGGTGGGCCACACGAGAGACCGCGACTTCCGTCAATGGAAGGAAAGGTAAGGGCCGAGCGAGATAGGTTTTGAATAACTAAGCGCGAAACGCGACATCGGACACTGGAATCGCGATTCCAGTGGGAGGAGAAAACGGACAAGTTGTTGTGGAGGAAGACCTCGATGCTTCTTTTCCACCCGCTCACGATGCACCCGACCGCCGACCCCTGAGTTGGATGGATGGGCCCATCAGGTAACCAACTGCGGATCCTTCAACTCTCCACCGTGGGTGACCACCGAGTTGTCGCCGAGGAGAAAGAAGACGACGAAAGAGACGGGAGCGGCGAGCGGGCGACGTGTGGCCATAGCCAGCTGTATCCAAACCAAACCAAACCGCCTGAACCGGAACGAAGCGGGCGGTCGTGCCCAACCGAACGCCCCGTTAACCCAGTCACCGATCCTTGTCCCTCTGCCCCTATAAAAGGCATCGTAACCCCACTCCCTGTTTGCTTCGCCGTCCTATTGCTCGCTCTCCTTGGCTTCATCCCTCTCTGCTTTCTCTCCCGGTCGAACACGAAAACCGGATCGAAACAGAGGAATGAATGATTAGGCCATAAAGGTCGCTCCTTTCTCCTTTTTCTTCCTCCTCCTTTCATCTTTGCTGCAGATACATCGATCGAAGCAGTCGAGATATCAAGTCGGTGAGAGTTTGGGGATTCCATGGCGGCCGCAACGGGGAGAAGCAGGTGCAAGGAGGCGGCCAGGATAAAGGGGCCGTGGAGCCCGGAGGAGGACACGTCGCTGCAGCGGCTGGTGCAGCGGCACGGACCCCGGAACTGGTCGCTTATAAGCAGGTCCATTCCGGGCAGGTCCGGCAAGTCGTGCCGGCTGCGGTGGTGTAACCAGCTGTCCCCTCAGGTGGAGCACCGGCCCTTCACGGCGGAGGAGGATGAGATCATCATCCGCGCCCACCGCCGCTTCGGCAACAAGTGGGCCACCATCGCCCGCATCCTCTCTGGCCGCACCGACAACGCCATAAAAAACCACTGGAACTCCACCCTCAAGCGAAAGTACACCCCCCCCTGCGCCGGCAGCGGCGACGGCGGCCTCCAGCATCACTACGACGCGATCGTGGCGGCGAAGGCGGCCACGGCGATCGAACAGGACGACGAGCCTGAGGAAGCGAGGGCGCTCGAGAGGGCCAGCAGCGACGGTCCGGTCCTCTTGTCGGGCGGAGCAGGGCTTTGGATGAACCCCGGCAGCCCTTCGGAGTCCGACGTCAGCGATTCCAGCCACCACAGCCATCCGGTGATCTCTTCAGCGGCGGAGGTGCCTCACATCTATCGACCAGTTCCTAGAACCGGTGGCGTCGTGCTTCACTCTTCCCCTTGCCGAGGACCTCATCAGACCGAACCGATGACCGCTGCTACCATCGCCGCCACTCCTATCCACGACGACGACGATCCGGTCACGTCCCTCACACTCTCCCTCCCTGGATCCGATCCGATGGACACCTCCTCCGACCACCACCACCACCACCAGGGCAGCCCTGTCAACCACATCCAGAACCAGCTCCAACTGCTGCCGACCTCGGCTCCGACCCCGCAGCCCATGACGCAGCGGCGCCCTGCCGTGGCTGCCTCGTCTGCCGCGGAGGAGGAGCGGCGGCCGACGCCTATCCCTTTCAGCGCGGAGTTCCTAGCGGTCATGCAAGAGATGATCCGCAAGGAGGTGAGGTGCTACATGGCAGGACTGGAGCAGAGCCGCATGCTGTGCGGGATGCAGCCGCCACCCGAGGGCGTCCGCAACGCGGCGATGAATCGCATCGGAGTAACGAAGATCGAGTAGGGTATTGTGTCGGATCCGGAGAAACAATGGATGATGATTAATCCGAATCAAGGAATGAATGAACGAACGAACGGCAAAACAGTTCTCGAAGACAGAGATAAGATGACCGAGAAGAAATGCGGTTCCTTTGTATTCGTACCTTTTTTTTTTTTTTTGCAAATAAGTTGCTTTCCTTGGCTAAAAAAGAACCAAAAAAAAAAGTTGTACAGGAGGAAGATTATGACGAGAGATCCAAGTCGGGGGGAAATGTTTCGCCGGTGGTAGTCATGTGGAAAGGAATATAAAAAAAGAAAAAAGGCAGCAAAATGATGCACTCTTTGTATCGGATCTGATCTGATCTGATCTGATCTATTCCCGACGATGATGATAGTTAAGGGTCCTGATGCTGAAGTGATTGTGTCGATGAAACGATGTAGGAAGAGAACATCTCTAATTCGACAAGTCTTAATCGACTGTCACCTCCATTCAAATGTGTCTGTTGACTATTGCTGCTAAGCGATAGCAAATCGGTACAGCCCGTCTTCTTGCCTGACGCTTTTACCATTGTTGCCGTCGAATCCTGCGGTTGGGAGTGGTGCGGTTGAAAGTCTCAGTTGGCGACAAAAACCGAAAACTTTGACTCGAGATTTTTTGAATGAGGAGCCCAAACCATGCCAAAAACGATAGATAAGATTGATTTGGGTGTCACCGTCAAGGGAGGATGGCGGATTAAAAGACTCCCCCTACTCGCTTGGTTCTTATCAGGAGGAATAATATAACGTTCACGACACTGTTGGGTTGGGGAGGTGATAAAAAGAAGCGTTGATTAGTAGACGTCAGGGAATTGGTTATGGGACGTGGACTGAGGGGGACAAGCATTAGTTGGAAGAAGAGATAAGTTTGGTTGCATGCCAGTTGGGCAGCAGCAGCTGCGTGGTTAATTTAATTCGCCCCCCCCCCCACCCCCCCACTCACGGTTGACAAGACTTGCAGAAACCCCCTTTCCCAAATTCAAAAAGAGCGTCTCCGTGTCTCATTTGATCGCTGGCGACAATCATTAATGAAGCAGCTCAAGATCGAATCACCATCAGCATTACACGTCAGAGAATTCGACCTTGAGATGCCATGCTCTTTTTTGCACCGCTAAGCTTACTTGCCGAGGAAACGTCGAACCATCATAAATGCTTTTAAAGAAGAAGAAGAAAAAAAAAAAAAAAAAAAGAGGCACAGGCTTACCTGAGGGAGAGCAAAGGCTATATATCTATCCTTTTCAACATATCTGGGTAGCAGCAGCTGTGTCCTTCTGCATACCACGTAGTGGGTGGCGCATCAGGATCAACCCTAGAAGAAATTGACAAGCCAAAAGACATGGGTGTTATTTACTATAGTTCTAGAAACGAAAATGGTAAAAATTGCCAGTAGTGTCAGCTTACCAGCTCGGTCTGCACGTCTTTGTTTGCAGCAGCCTCTCACGCCCTCTCATCTTTTTACCAACATCCCTCGGTCTTCTGACAGAAGACTGTCCACATTTGAAACCCGAAAAGCATGATTATTAGCACGCCCGAGACAAATTATTAACAGAATTAGCAACACATTTTGTGCTGGAAATACAAATCATCTGAGTTTCATGGATAAGTAGCTCCTTCACATTTCAACAAACTGACTTTTATCTTCAACAACAATCATTTACTCTGTTTAAATCATCACACACACACACACACACACCAAAACAAAAAAAAGGAGAAAGAACAGGCACTCTGATGATCTATCTACAAAATGGCTAAAACCTAATGGTGGCGGCGTTAAATGGGACTTTGGGACGGCCACATTAGTTAAACAAACCATCTAGAAAACCTGGAAATTTCAGTTCCACAAAGGCCCAAGGAAAGACTACCAAAATAGCTATACCAGACAGAAACTCTCAAGCAAAGACTACCAAAGATTTTGAAGCAGTCATTTAGTTTTGCTTAAACCAAAGACTATCAAAGAATTTAAAGCAACCCGAGTTCACTTGGTTAAAATTGATGTCACAATCTTCAATGCAACTTCTCTTAATCCAAGAAATATTGCATGTTACTTGGGCTGTCTAGAATGTCAAATCTCAAATGATAAACTGTAACCTCACAGATATCTCCAGGAATGGAACCAAAAAACCAATCTGGCTTGAGGAACTAAGGAATCCAAGTCAATTGTTTTAAATACTGACAAATTAACACCCCCCTAAGAATGCCAACTGTTAGATTGAACGTAGGTTTTATAACATTAAAAGGCAAATGTACACAAGTATCAAAACACTTGACAAATTGTTGTCAGATATGTTTTACCTAAACCAGAACTGCCAACTAAAAAACGAACAGACTACACCAGAAACAAAAGAAGCAGATGGGTTGGTGATACAAGATTATGCCCGTTAACATCCATTAATTAGCTACAAGAAGATTAAACAACCTCAAATTACAATATCGGACAAAAGAGACTAACTAACAGGAGACAACATCACTTCCTCATTTTATATTGACTGCTTTATTACAGGAGTCGAAGGTTATAACATACCAGAGGAATTATCATTTTTAAAATAAAAAACAAATCATCAAGGTGTTATTTAATATAATTTTTGTTTGCAAATCAAGGGTTGTAAAGAAGAATAATAATTTTGAAGGGAAATTGTTGAAAAATAACGACGACCACAAAGTTGATCGCTTCACAACTAAATCAAGTGGCTTGAGTCGATTAGGTTTAGATCTGCAACACATCATGAAAACACTATTCCTTAACCGTAAAACATCTATGTCTTCTATAGGTAAAACCATTGTTCACCTAAAAACACCAGACCGATTCAGCCATATGATTCCATATTCTGATTAACTAAATCTCGAGAGACAACTTTTACACTCTAGAAGATGACAACAACGACAACAACAAGCCATTATGACCCGACGATATAAGATCAGTTAGATGGATCTTTTCCTCCCACTGAACTCTATTTAATAAAATGCCAAACGTAACGCCCCCAACCCAATGGTAAGCAAGCAACGGTATGACACCGCAATTTTATAGATTTCTCTGTAATTTTTGTATTTACAACTAGGCCCTAAGATAGATAAAATTAGGGATACTACAGTCAATGCTTTAGAAGACTATTAGTCCTAAATCGCCACCAAAATATTCAGCGAGTTAGCATGAAGTTTTGTATGACAGGAAACTTGGGATACAGAAGATGTATGACACCAAAAACCTTGACCAGACCCAATCCAACCTGTTCACCAGTCGGAACTGAGCACCTAAAAATGAACACGATCCATGCTGCACACAGTCGACCACTAAAGCATCCATTCCCTTGTCTGTTCAGATTATTTTATCTAGACAAGACCAGGCATCATCTGCTTAAAAGATGGCAAAACTTACCGACTAAGTATCCATACAATCATGGCTATGCCTATGACTCGGACTATCCATTCTCAGACAGACATACACTGCCTCAATCATTATAAATAATTGAACATTAAAGTGGAACTCTGCGATCTTGATTCATGCATGCAAGTCATGAGCATGGCAGGTTATTAACCACCAGAATAGTCAAAAGGAGTTTTCTATTGTCTGGAATTTTTTATCGTACGAATATTACATCCAAACTTGTAGGAAAAACAAGACACTATGTATTCACTTCATTACATACCCAACATCCAACTATCGGATCAATTCGAATGCGAATCCTCAGCAAAGACACTTTTGCAATGAAATAAGCCATCATTACAAGTTGAGTATATCCAAGAACAGCCGTTTTGGAAAATTTATTCGCCAATATCTGCCAAAACAGGGATATGAACTCTTCCAATCTCATGAAAGATTGCATATGTATCTACGAGATGAATCTGAAGTAGAGCATTTCTATGTTTTACCAGTTTTTCGTATCCCAAATCGACCAATTAAAGCTTTCATAAAACATGTTGTGACATCGAAGCTGCAGAATCAAAACGAAAAGAGAACCCCTCCATCGGGTGCTAAATCTGCCGAAAAGCTAATCCGCCCTAACCAACAAGGATGCATCGCATCCGTCTTTATGTAGCAACACGTGAGATGTGACAGCAGAATGACTTTTGAGACCACAAGCAAGCATCGATCGAGGACTAAGAAGCTAAATCTAGCGAATCCCCCGCCGAGAACTACTAAAGAAAGGACGGAAGCGAAATCAAGTGCAGAGATAAAGATCCGAATAAAGACCCTTGATCGAGCGAGACCTAGGCTTCGGAGACGAGAGGGCAGCGGTAGTCGAGGAACTTGTCGCCCTCGGAGAAGGAGATGGAATCGGCGTCCCTCCTCGTTCTTGTCGGCTTCGCCATCTCGCTCGCGCTCTCTTCTTTCTTTCCCTCGCTCCGCCCCTCCCGCGATCCAAACAAATGTACCCCCCACCTTTGAATCATTTCGAAACCCAAAAACCAACTCGGCCGAACTTAAACCGGTCCATCAGGCGATTGGTTCGCGGATATAATTGAGCCTAACTTGAACCGGTCCATGGCCCACAGGTCCAGGTCTGAGAAGAGGTGTTTGTGCACCTTATGAGCCCAATAAGGCAGCGTGAGGATATGAGTGCATGCTCTCTCTCTCTCTCTCTATCTCTCTCTCTCTCTCTCTCTCTCGTGAAAGTAACAAAGAGCAACAGTTTGTTTCGCTGAGTATAGGTTGATTAAGCTTATGAGATGCATTATACATAGGACCGCGACCTATAAAACAATCTGTGCTACTTTACTCATCCTTACAATATCGAAACAAAGAGGACGCTATCGACCACGAGCAGAGGGAAGAAGGACAAACGACGGATGGGGAGTTGGATATGAATGATGGCGATCGAGATGGAGCGGGGGTTCTTCTAATGACCAACACCGGGGCTCGGCCCGGAAACGTTGATGCCGTCGGTGGTGAAGTGAGTCACATTGTGGCCTCCACCGCCGGGGCTCAGCCCTCCGACTTTCATCTCTCCCTGAACGAAGCCGACAACCTTGTCACCGGCGCCGCCACGTCGTTGTTCCAGGTTTCTCAGCGGCCTCGCTAGCGCCGACACCACGACCGACATGAGGATGGCCAAGTACAGAACCCTAGACCGGGAAGCCATGGCGACCGATATCGATGGAGGAGTGGGTATTACATGGGAGGAAGCAGCTAATGTCGTCCCCCTTTATATGAAGGTTAGAGGAACGTAATTTCCACCACGTGGTTTCGCTGCATGGGGCAACCGAGGAAGCATCGCGGTGGATGCATGGGGAGGCCAAATTCGAGCGGTGAGACGACCATGGATGGAGTCGGAAATCAAAGGGAATCGATCCTTGTGGTGTGGACAAAGAGATG